GGTTTGGCGCGGGGGGACCACCCCCCTTACCCCCCCGGGGGGGTGGCCAGGGGGGCCAAAATGCAAAAAAAAGGGGGGGGGGGGCCTCAAGGGTGGACCAATTTTTAAAAGGCGGGGGGGGGGCTTGGAACGGGGGGAACCCCCCTGGGGGGTAAGGCCTTTTTAAAGGGGGGCCGGGCCGGGGTCCCCCCCCCCCCCCCCCGCTTCATCGGTGATCAGTCCTGTGCGAATAATGCCCCACCCCCTCTCGAGGATGCGTGGTCAATTGTCTGTTTAACAACTACGGCATGCAAAACATGAGTACGCCCACCCCCCCAGCCCTCTACACACGCAACTGCGGAAAAAAACGACAATGCTCAATGGAGGGATGGTCCAACTAGTCGTGAGGAGCTATCGAGGTCCGAAATTCGGCATACCACCAAACACATGCTGCACTTTGCGGCATCGGCAATTCTTGTCCTTGAAGGAGCTATCGAGGTTCGAATTTGGACAATCCACCACTAACTATTCTACGACTTCCCCCCCTCTATACCCCTGCCGTCGGACCCTGTCCTGGGGAGCGTTGCTTAGCCCTCCCGGTACCTCACCGTGCTTCCACGACCGCCACCCCTCCTGCGCTCAGCCCGTTCAGCCACGCCGCCACTTTCTTCGCGGACTCTTGAGCCGCGATCGTCTCCAACGCCGCGGCTTTCCCTGGCGAAGGCAAGGGGGGGGGGGGGAGGTAGATCAAAACCTTAATCTGGTCGGGAGGGGGGGCCGCTTGGCGCACAACTCTTGGGACCATCGGTTGCGAATCTCAGTTGACAAGGAGGGAAACCTACATTGGCGTTCATTTCCATGCTGCCAATGGTTTATATTCCTCCAGCATTTTTATTGGCATTCTGGGGGCAGGGGATCAGCAGAGATCACATCGCCGGCAGGAAAGGGGCGGGAGGCACGGGAACACAGCGCACGGAGGCGAGACGTAACGTAACGCCGACGCCGAGAGGGACCAAACGAGCCAGCCACGTGCCACAGTACTCGGACCACGTTCTACGACCCTGCTTCAAACAACACACACTCACACACGCACACACACGCAACACGACGGCCTTTGCGAGAAAGCAATTCGATACAACCCGCTCGCTAGCTACGCACACGTCCGCCGGTCGTCCAACGCACCTCTATCGCTGTATGTGTAGCCCTGGGTCTGCCGCACGGCGGCCGGGGTGCCGCGTTGTCTGTCCCCGTTTTTCCCGCCGCTTCCGTGCCCATTCCCATTGGCCAGCGATCCGTTCTTCCCCCCGGGCGTGGCACCGGTGTCCAGAACGTTCCCCGTCCAGCGAGTGTGGCGCCCATTTTCTCTGTTCCGGCTGCTGGAGATATCGGTCAGGTTGTCCCTAGGCGCGGAACTAGACGCCCCATCCCTCGCCGTCGACCCTAGGTCGTCGGGCGTCATCAGGAAGTGTCGCCTTATCAAGTTGGACCATCGCAGGTACCGCAGCAGTTTCTCGACGACGTACCTCTAGTTCGGAGGTGGTCCACGAAAATGTCAAGGCGAATGGGAGGGGCGGGGGGGGGGGGTGCGCGAATGAGATGAATCCCGCTGCTTTCGGTGTAGTTTGCGTCGAGTATTTTATGTATGTTCGTCCCATCTATTCTGGCGCAAGTCTGCCCCATTTTCTATGTATATGCTTGGCGTACTACTTGTAGTCAAACAAGAGGGAGGTCACACAGGAGCTCTTTTTGTTGATACTTTGACACTATGCTCCACCTAGGTACAGGCATTGGTGGTGAGACCGCGGAGGTGGAAGAGTGTGAGGGAACAAACAGACAAACAAGGCGCAGTTGCACATGCTGACCTTTCTGTCCTTCCAGCTATTGCTTCCCAAGGGGGAAAAAGCGCGCTGGGCGAAACTACTCAAAACTCGAATGGGGTCTGCCTCAGGAAGCCTCTCGGGAAGCACGGACACATCCTGCTTGCGCGAATGAAAACGTCACCCAGTTCACGGCGGTGAAGGGCCTTCGTTCGCGAAAAAGCTCCGGCGTTTGGGCCGACACAAGGCTTCGCGCTAAGGTTGGCATCAGGGTCGTCGTCAGATGGCAAACCATGTTGTTGGCAGACCCTTGCCGCGTATCGCGTGGGTGGGTCGAACCTCTAAACGCCGCCCATCAGCGTGTCAACTTGAATGCCACGAACGATGTCAAGGTGAGAACGAGTGAATTGTTTACTCTCACTCGCTGACCCAATATCTCTCTCTATCCCGCTTCAACAGATGTCAGGCCATTCGTTCAATCCCGACAGCGGAAGGAGTTCGCTGGCCAAGCGTCGTACAAGAGGCACCCTTCCGCTGAGAAAGTGCTTAAGTCGTCCTTCACCACCATTCCAATCCAATACCTCCACAGGGCCTCTGCATATGCCTGGAAAGCAAGTTCCTCCCGCCGATCATAGAATGTCAAGGGTATGATGGGCGGAAGGACCTTGCTTTGCGGGCGCACGCGGAGGCGCTGTGGAGGGAAGTCAAACCGTGCCTTAACCACAACGACATGGCGGCGGCCTGGACATCGACGCTCACGTCTCACACAGGGACGCCGTGATATTGACTACAGTTCGAAGAAACGATACGATTGGAATATTGTAGTTGTGAAGGACGACTAGAGCACTTTGTCGGCGGAAGGGTGCCCCTGCAATGTTTGTCCTGTCTAGATTCCATAGGGTTGGTGGCCTGGTACAGATTGATTCCACCGCACTCGTGTTAGCTTGGCTGGTTTCTTCCTCGTTTGTTTCTATTTCGTAACGCGCCCTTCTTGAGTACTTTTCTTTGAAGTCTGCACCTAGTTTGAAAACTTTTGTTCTAGCTTGCAACAAGTCAACCTGTAATGAGGAAGCGCCTTAACCGAGATGGTAGTTGGAGGAATATTTTCAAGGACTCTCTAAAGACCTGCGCAACAGGTACCCCAGGCTCTCTCCGTCTCTCTCATTGCATTTTTTACGCTTGACGCGGCACATCTTTTTTGACTCTCTCTCCCCACTCCTCGTGGTTCCTTCTACATGTGTCTAGCGAAACCGGACCAATAGGCCAGAAGACTGACGGACACACAGCAGCAGTACAGCAGTAGCTCAAACGATCTGGCCGGTTTGTTGCTCAGCCCTTTTTTCTTTCGCCGGGGCCGCTCATCGTTGGCCCAAGTTTTTTTTTTTTTTTGGCCCAAGTATGTAGAGTACGCATGACACACCACCAGTCCATAATATGTCCAGACTACCCATTCCAGATATGAATAACAACAGCAGTCGAAGGGATGGGTTCAAGTTTTACTATTTACAGAGTCAGCGGGAAAACCGGCTGGATACTGGGCTTATTTAGGGTCTTCTTGAGCATATACACTGAACTTGTATCAGTGGTATCAGCAGGTGCTATGCATACATAAGGGATGGCAGAACACGAACTTTGATGTTATTGACAAATTTTGAAAACGAAAGCAAGAGCACCAGAAAACGCACAAGAGACGCACAAGACCAGTCGGAAGGCATCGCGCAAAACAGAAATTGTTGATTCTCGCACAGGGCGGTAGTAGAGGCTTCTCAAAACATACGTTTCACGCGTCTACCTCCACACGCCTCCTTGGAAATCAAGATACAAATTCACACTACTCTAAACTCAAGTAAATAAATCCAAAACGGCAGGCGCTCAAATAAGCTCTGTGTTGCCAGGAACCTGGTAATTAGTACTAAATATCACTAGAGGACATCCTATCGCAGCGGGGGGTGCGTGTTGGCGCGCTCATATCTCAGCAAATATCCGCAAATTAGACCGGCACCGAGTGTCTTCTACAGCTTGTGCTCGCCGCCACTGACCCCAATCTGCTGAACTGCGGGTTCACAGCAGCTGATGCCACTAGGTACTGACGTCAACCCGTTCAGGAGATTGCGGTCTTTTGGCGGTGAGCACGGCTGTGACAAATGTTGGATGCCGCGTGGTTACGGCGCAGATTTCGGACTGTTTTGTTTCAGAGGCTGCTGCGACCTCCGATATTTCGGCTCCAGTAGCAAACCTGAACGTGCCAGCACGCACGGCGCCTCTTGATGGGGTCCTCTACTGATATTAGGACTAATTACCAGGTTCCTCAGGCGGGAAGGTTGTTTTCTTTATTAATGTTGGATTAAAGGATGAGAAAAGAGCCAGCGTCAAAACCCCTATTCTGCGCCCCCCTTAATCACAAAACTGCATCTGTTATGTAGGATGTACGTTGAAGTTCGGTTGTTCTTACTCCGTTATTTTCCAGGCTGTCGACCTGGCATCGTCATTCTGCCTAAATCTCGCGGATGCAAAGTAGCAGTGGCAGTAAAAACATCACAGCTATTCGCTGACAGAGGAGCACGCATGAACCAAGCAGTGGGCTGCACTGGCTCCAATCTGCCGTCTGCCAACAAACTGCTGTTGCGCTGTTGCGCTGTTGCTGCTGTAGTTCGAGAACAAAGTGCGGCCCGATCTGGAAAGATGAAAGATGTGACATGATAATGATTCAGCAAACTTTATCAGCCGAAAATAACTGGCTCTGCTGCAGCTGCCAAGACAAAGCAACGGCAGCATCTTGCTTCGAACACGAACATCCCTCACCTACCCACACCCACCCCACGCCATAAGCTTTCTCTCCCTCTCCCTCTCCCTCTCTCTCTCTCTGGATCTGTACATTCGCGGTGTAGCTCGTGAACAGCCCGGCTGTGACAACCAGTGCTTCAGACCGTTGAGGATGGCCAGACCCAGTGGTTGAACATATCAATCCAGATGGGTTTGAACAAGGCGCTAACTGCTGCTGCTGCTCACCTGGTGGACGCCAGTGCTTGCTGGCCCTATGATCACCACCACCAACCGTCCCTCGCCGAGCTGTTTCCTGGTCAAGGACGGCTTTGTCTCTCGCTGCTCATGACGAAGCTGAGACTCGTTGCGGATGAGGTCGAGGAAACCTTGACATTGCTGCTCCGATCCTCCCTCCGCACCGCCTCTCTTTCTCGGCTTCTGCCTACTGCTGCTGCTGCGGTGCGCATGCGATGAAAGTCTGCTCGCGCCCCCACCTCGCGCTCTACTGAGCGCCACATAGCACAGAAGAAAGGTGATGCCGAGCGACGGTAGCAGCTTCGGCTCGGGCATCGAGAGGGCAGACCTTAGAACCCTTGCGGTGGGCGAATGAAGGTGCACGCAGCTTGTTCGTCAAAGTCCCAACAATATGATCAGCACAATTGGGCTCCTCCTGCTCTGAGCTCAAAGCCAGCGGAGAGAATTTCGCTGCACTCACGCGTACAAGAGCCTACTTATGCGGCTTAAAAAGGCCCACACATAGATCCTGGTCGTGATATGCACAGCCGACTGGCAGCTCCTCCACACGAGCACCAGCTGGTACGCAATGAATTACGGAGCCCCCCTGGTACTGTATTCGTGTAAATAACATTTTCTGTCGGAGACCCCCCTCTCGTTGGTCTTTTGTTGTCGTTGTCTCACACACACAAAGGAGGTCTTGCAAGCAGAACATGGCGGCCAGCCTGCACCAGATTGCCAGGGCGGGGGCGGTGGAGGAGGGAGAGGACTTCTTTCGAGAGGCGACGGATTCTAGAGGGGAGCAAGCAGCCAACGCCCTTGACGGAATGCAGAGGTGAGAGTGCTTTTTCCAAGGGGGAAGTGACACGATCTCTCTTTTTGTTGTTGCTTTTTCCCTTGAAGTCGCCACCAGTGTAGCAGCAAGGGGGTTGTCTGCGATGCTCAGTGGCACGCGGGACGGTTGGAATACGGCGAAGTAAGCACCTGGTGTTGCGACCTGTCTCTCCTTTGCCGACCGCAAGTGGTATCGTGCGCTGCCGTGCACGGTGCCGCGAGATATCTTTGTATGAAGAAACGGCGAGAATAACTGCCGCACGCACATATTCACCACGTGTCGGTGTTCGTGTGGACAGCCTGCACTGTGTGTGACCTAGAGTCTCTCTCTCCGCCGCACAAAAAAGTAAATGCGCGTGTTTGGTGATATCTCATGGTGCTTGGTGCCTTGTCAGCGTATGTCGTCTACGACGATGCAAGTAGGACACGCAAAACTGCAGGCGGACAAGTTGTCGCTCTAAATAGCACTGCTGTCTCCATCGAACCGGGTTTACTCTGCTGTAGATCCTACTGCGGTACAGCAGTAGATTATGCGGCGCATCGACCACGCTAACAGGCCGATGAGAAGACATCTATGTATGCTGGCGACACTCGAAAACCTCTCGTTTACCTTTTTTCTATGTGTTTGACGTACCAGCCGTGGTGGCACAGACGTGAGATAAGGTTACACGGGAGCTATTTTTTGGGGGGGGGACTTGACAAAAGAGGGTACAAGTACAACCCCCCCTACCGGGAGTTTAGCAAAAAAAAGAAAAAATGGGGTACACTTTAGTGTGTGTGTGTGTGTGTGATGAAACGCCTGACGCCGGGTGGACACCTCCAAATCGCCCTCTAGCACCTCGTCCCCACGCGCTAGGTCCTTGGGCAGCACGCCTAGACTTTTGGTTTCTTTTTGCCCTCCGGAATCGGGTTCACTCATACCAACTAACTGTCGAACCTGTGCTATATTACCACGTGCCCCTGAAAAGGCCATAATATATACAGAATTTAAGGGATCAGTTTTTTTAAAAAACTCTATAAGTCGCTCTTTTAATTCTTCACTCGTTGTATTCCAAATATAAAAAGACGGCCCGGCACCTCGTTTTGTCATCCAACCTACTACCCTCCGCCGCCTGCCGTAAAATAAATTTCTACCATTGGTATTCATCAAGATGTACCGTAGTTGTTTATGCATGGTGACCGCTGTACCCCATGTTGTTAACAAGTCTCAGATTCCCCCTTAATAGAGCGTGGGTTCCAGCCGACATCAAAGAGATATATTTATCAACGTATCAACCCATACGTGCCAAAGACCGCTCTCGGGTGACCCAAACCAACAATCTCGACCTCGTTAACCATTTGTCACGGGGAGCCTATTGCTGTCTGTATGCATACAATACTGCTGTATTCCTGATGGCGGCGACGGATGCGAGGGAGGCAGACAAAAGCTGACTGTGGTTGTTGCTTGCCATGCCGTTCCGATACAGCACTGGGCAGCAAGCAATGGTGCTGTTACAGCACCGTTTGCTGCCCCTTGGGACAAAAAGTTCACCAGATAGAGCGAGTTTCGCACGCACACGCCGACTGCAATACACCGCACGCGTGGAAGCTGCTGAGAACGTTGCGTGTGGCATCGAACCTGCCGGCAACTGACAAACGTGTGGCATCGACGATGATTACCCCGAAGGAGAAAGGGACCGATGGTATATATAGCCCGTCTATGCGCTT